ATATATATATATATATATACCTAAATTATATTGATACACAAAAATTTGCTTACGTTTTCCACACCAATCTCTAACATCATTAAATGCAAATCGTGCGAAAGAATGAACGATGACATTGCTCAGGAGTTTATATTAATATATATCGCAATGTTATTCGACTTGACATAAATTTATGTCAGTGACATAAATTTTATATAGTTTTTGTTAATAATGTACTGATTATAATTCATTTTTCGGCATGTGTCATATTTTTTACGATTATAATATGTAATTTATAGGTTCGGATGCTATACGCATCCGAAAATCAAAAGAAATTGACGCTTGTTTCACATCTCGAATGTACATCGATGTATATCGCTCGAAATCGAAAATTTAATCTGCTATTTTAAAACCTATCTATTCATATAAGAGAAAAATGAAATATATAAATAACTTGACTAATATCAAAAATACATCACAAATTAAATTTTGTTAAATAACAGAGAACAATTTTATATCTCAATCAGAGTTTTTTTATAGCAAAAATCAAATTTTATAATTTAAAGAAAAAATTTTATAATTTAACAATATTAAATTAATTTAATTCATAATATTTATTTCTGTTAAATTTATTTAAAATTATTTAAAAAATATAATCATTTATATTTTAATCTTAAATTTTTTAATTATTCCGAAATTTATTGATGTAACATTTGTATATATATTTGTTATTTTTTTAAGAGAAAAATCAATTCCATATTAATCACATAATTAACTATTAAGCGTTAATGCGATAGTGGCACATAAAACATATTACATTACGCTCAAGAAAGTTGTTCAAAAGTTACTTGCTGTTTCCTTGCAAACTCCCATGTAGCAAGAAATTGGATTTAACGAAAGAAAGGCCAATCCCGTTGAGATTCATTAAACCAACGTTTCACTACGAAACTTGCATCATTAGTAATTCGCAAAAGAATGGAAACAGACTTATACATTCATAGTTGCTAAATCAGCCAAACTGTAATCAATGTCGTAATATTGTAGACCAAAATGCCAGATTGTCCTGCCACAGAATTGTTAAATTTCTTCCTTCTTAGACAGATAAAGGAAAAGTTTTTGTAACTTGTAAAGAATAGTTTTTGTAAGTTTATGGACTCTATCAAAAGATTTCATATTCTATGTTACTTGCTTTTTAGTATGCAACGTTCTATACTCGATATTATATAAAAATGTCTCTCATATCATTTTATATATTTTACAAGAATGTTATTTTAAAATATTTCACATTTTATGTACAAGTATAGAAAACGCTCATAAAAAACGCTCCATTAATTATATCCAAACTTTCTTTTCTCTTGATAAAAAAAGTTATTAGTAGTAATTTTAATAATTTTCAAAACATTAATTTAGAATAATCACGTTCTTCTTTCAAGAGAGATAATATAGTAGACTGTATTAAAGAAAATTTTTTGTTTCAACTGCATTCTTTAGATTATAAAAAAGTAAGTACATAGCATCGACATTTGTAGAAAATAGAAAGAAGAAAATGAAAATGAATAAAAAAAGTAACAAAGTTTTAGCTATTGACTTAATTAAGTCCTTACTTAATGAAAGAAATGTTTTATCAAATGAATTGGTTTTATAAACAGATAATAAAATAACTATAATTACATAATTTTTAAAAGCTATTTTTTAGAAATTTATGAAAATTAATTACAAATATGAAATATTATTTTTTAAATTCTAAAATTCTATTTTAAATTCTAAAAATTACGAGATAATGTCTAAAAAAAAGTTAAAGGCTATTAAATGCATACAATTTATTTTTGTATCTATACATAAAATATTATTTAAAATGTATCTAAATATATAAGATTAGAGAATAAAGAACGTCAACTAACTACGTTTCTAACTACATAGGTCAAGATATGTCATATGCGATAGACAATAACATTCATACACATATCTATCAGTAATAATTTTATCATAGCGTAATATATAATTACTCAGCATATAATTAATCATGTTTCATGTTTTCATATTAATTGTACGTAATATAAAGATATTAATTATCATCTATTATTTGGTCTGATTTCTCTGGACATCTGATTTCTCTAGAATTATAATTTTCAATACAAGTATAATATTGCAATTTGAAATTAGCTCCGTCTTCATTTTCCGTACACCTCTTAATTTCAAACATAATTTTGCGAGGATTCAACAAAATCAAACATCACGAGTTACATCTCTGCGCCGTAAATAGTGACTTACGCCATAACATCGGTTTCTATTGCTCTACTCTATCGATGTCTCTATAAATTCTTTATTTTTCAAAACTTTACGTGAGCGCTATATTTCCTGTAAACATAAATCGCGAAAGGTTTGGAAGTTATACTTTGACTATGATATGTGAGGTTAAAACTCTCGTAAAATAAGAAGATTCGGATAAAAACATCAATTCCATTTAACACAAAAATATAAAATGGTATAACAGACTATAAATATTATATATAGTTGATTGTTAAATATTATTTACGAATTGTTGCACTCTTACGGTAGTATTAGTACTATAAAGCAAAATTTTCACCCTACTGTAAATTCATACAATATAATTTAACACATAATAGTACTGTTGTATTACACAACGGAAACTTGCAATGTCCAAACTTCAGAAATACAACTGTACTATACAGAAACAAGCAACTAATTAGAATCGCTAATTTCAACATTAATAATGATAAGACCAAGTAATCAAAAAGTTCGTTTGTTATTTTAAATACTTATCAATGTAAATACATATAAGAAGAAAAAAGAATAAATTTTTTGATAAATCTAAAAAATCCAGAAAGACATATTTATATAAAACTACGTAAGCTAGACATTTCTTGGTGAATAACCTATTGTATGCAAAATAATAGGGAGAAACTCGAAAGAT